ACCCAACAGGCTGACAAGAAGCATCAATTCTTCTCTTTGATTTCCTTGCATTTTCTAATCACACCCAACATAATGATCAATGTCACAGTCTTCAGAATTGGATAGACAAGGGTTTATATTGGCAATTAAATATTGTTCAAGTTACATAACTTCTCTGAGCCCCTTGTCTCATTTATAGATGTACATAATGACACTCTTAGATGATTTTCCTAAAGAATAAATGAAATCAAGCAAGAAATCACCCTCAAAGAGTACTAGATGCTATTCATCCCAGTACCTCTTGCATTCTGGCTTTCTACTGTTGTGTCAGTCATTGACTGCTGAGGCCCTACTAAGGGGTCAAAAACCCTGATATGTTTCTTTTTATTCCCCAAAGGAAAAATTTTCCTCTCCATCTTCAGGATAGCATTCCATTGCCCTCACTTGAAATTATTTTCTCATAAGTGCCATTGTTGTTTCTTGTTTTGTATGGGTGACACTGCCTGGAATGAAGAAAAGTTGCTTCATACTTAGTTCAAGTAAATTGCTAAGAATGTGCATGCATTCTTTTCCTTGGTCATTGCACTATCTCTTCTTGGATTTAAGGGATGGATGTGGAATTTCTCTGAGTGGAATTTCTAGGACTTTTGCAGACATTGGATTGAGAAGCTCTGTTTTGATGAGGCTGGATCTAATCAGAACTGAATGGTTTCACCTATGATACTCTGAACTGATATAGTATACACAAATACACTCACACATACACACATGCTATTAACATCACAACTGCTAGCACAGGTGATTTTCCTTCATCCCCACATAAAAGTGATGTAATTATTTGGGATTTAATTAATTTATCACTCTAGTTGCCTGTTACTATGGGGAACTGTATCTTAGGGGAATAGAAAAATGGGAGATATCAGAGGCATTGAGCCCATGTCTCTGAACCAGGGGCAAGTTGTAAAGGAGAAATAAATCATAATTTTTAAGGTTAGATTTGCTCTATTTCAAGAGACAAAACACATATTAAGGGTCAATAGTGATTCTCAGTTCCACTCCATATATCTGTTTGTATTCTGACAATAGGTTCGCCAACATTAATTTTTAGCATGACGTGCATTTATATTTTTCTGTGAATTATGTGTATTTAGTTGCAAGAGGTTGCATCTGAGACCTCCAATCCAAAATGCAGAATTTAATAATTTTTATCCCAGATGAATTTTTTAGTAAAGCCACAAGAAAACCAAGGCAAAAGAATTGTTTATACTTGAATATAACTGCAAAGTAGGCATCTGATAAAATTTTTTTTTGCAATGAATCTAAATATGGTCTCATACTGCCAGAGATCATTTCACAGTCTCTGTTTTTCTAAGACAATGTAAAGAATACTTGAAAATTGGACCAGTGAATCACTGGATTCTTTTATTTTTCTACAGATTACTTTCAGGTTCTGGCTAGATGATATACAGTCCATTCTCCACATATGACTAGTCTATTGTGTCATTATGCTTCTGGTCATGAATTTCTCTGCTGAAAATGTTTGCTTCCCTTCCTGTTGTAGTTTAGATATGTGGTGTCCCCCAAAAGCTCATGTGTGAGAGAATGTAAGAAATTTCAGAGATGAAATGATTAGGTTGTGAGAGCCTTAACCTAATCAGTGCATTTTTCTACTGGTAGGGATTAACTGGGTGGTAACTGTAGGCAGGTAGGCTGTGGATGAAGAAGGGGGGTCACTGAGGGTGAGCCTTTAGGGTTTATGTTTTGTCTATGGTTTAGAGGGGTCTCTCCTTCCTGCCTGTCATATTCTGAGCTTCTTTTCTCCACTACACCTTTCTGCCATGATATTCTGCTGCAGCTCAGAACCTATGGGCTGAGACCTCCAAAACTGGGAGCCCAAAATAAACTATTCCTTCTCTAAAATTTTTTCTAGTCAGGTCTTTTGGTCATAGCAATGAAAAAACTGACTAAACACCTCATTTCTGGTACTTCATGTCAATTTACATCTGCCCCACAATCCACTTCTCCTAGAAAACTATGTTTCTAAGGAACTCTCTCATGCCATCCGGCCTGGCATATGTTAATTCTGCCTTCACTAAGATGGTCCTCTTGAGAGATGAATTTATGTGACTTCAGTGTGTTCTCATGTTCTAATTTTCCATCACCAAAAGCCCATGGAAGGCAAGACCCTGCCTCCTTGATATGTTTTCTGACTCCTTCCCTCTGGACTAAAGCATCTAGTACAGGACTGGGGTTATATATAGCTTAGTGGGACCGTACGTGGGTAGTAAGCATGAGTCCCTGAGTTCACTCCCCAGGATCAAAAAAGACAAAGGAAAAAGCAAGCAAGAAAAAAAAGAAAGAAAGAAATATCTGATCCAGTAGATGCAGTACTTTGTAAAGAGTAACAATGAATTTGTTCACCACCTCATGTATAGATCAATGCTAATATTGTTTAAAGCTAAGATTGCTGAGAAGGTTTATTCTGGATGATAATTTATGTTAATGCCAAGAAAATTAAACAAGTTTTGTTTGTTGTTGTTAAGAGATTTTCCCCGCTGGCAATTCATTATAATATGAACTCCACTGACATCTGTGTATCTGTGGCCATCAGGTGGGAATTCAGAACCTCCATCCAACCCAAACACTGAAGAGAGGAAAGCCATCAACATGCATTAATTATCAGGCTGCCAGGAAAAGACTGGAGGGCAAAATTATTATTCTTTAGGCAAGGCAAAATGCAAAATAGATTTGACTTTAACATTTCATTATTTCATAGTTTAAATAGTAAAGTAGTGGTAATGGTACAAAATGGAAATGGGGGGAAATATGGAATATGCTAGGAAAGCCACTAAAATGGAACAAGAAAGCATAATTTCTAGTATTAAACTGAGATGAAGACTACTCAGTTGAATCAGCTAACATCATTTGGTTTAAAGGATGCCATTCTCCGTGGTGTGCCCATAGATGAGATTGTTAATTGATCATGGCAGCACCTTTTTCCTGACTTTCCATGCAGAGTTTCAGAATTCTGCTCAGGCAGCCACTAGTCATAGACTGAACTCATCATGTTTGGTGGTTAGATCATCATTCAGTAACCACTCACACCCTTTTCCCTGCTCTACAAGCAGAGTATATTTCCCTCCCTCTTTCATATCGGACTTGACCACATGACTTACTATACCAATAGGAAAGGATAGGAATAGAGGCCTTCAATGTTCCTGAGTGATTTGGCTCGTGGCTCTTTGGCCCTGGCATGTGCCATGAGAAGAGCATGCTCCAGGTGGCCACTGTCTCTTTAGCTTGGGCCTCACAACAACTGTACATGAAGTCCAGCTGAGCCCGACTGCAGGCTGCAGCAGAACATTTGAGTATAAGAATCAATTCTTCTTGTTGACAGTCACTGAGTTTAGGATCCATCTTAGATGAGACTTATTTTTTTATCTCTGTCCTAAAAACTGATAGAGCAGAAGAAAATGACTAGAATACAGTAGATACATCTTCCAGGATTAATAAAGAGCTGTTATGAAGAATAAATAGCTATGGAGGAAGCTTTGAGGCATTGTCTTAAAAGTTTAGTTTAAAAATTGCCCCGTCTCCCAATAAGGCTGCAAGAAATTAAAAGATTTGACAGAACATTGATTCCAATTGAGATCTCTTGATTATGAATACTGTATTCTTTTTGTAACAAAACAATAAATGTGTGATTATGAGAGATGCACTGGGAACCTGGGAGAGATGAGCTTCCAGGCAGTGTCAAGCAAAAAAGGTCATGACCAGTTCCTCCTGGTTGCAGGGCGGCTCTGCACCAGATCAATGGCTTTATCTCTAGAGAACCCAAGTGTGGGGACTCTAAGGAAGAGCGAGTACCCCATGTGAAGTTAGATGATGGCCCAGAAACCTGATGAAATAAAATGCTACCAGGCATAAAGGAAATACAAATATAAAAACGAAGCCTTACTATAAAAAGTCTATCTGATGGTTTGACCTCAGGCAATTCCTAGGTTGGAAAACAGTCCTAGTCCCCTGTTCTTCAGAGAAGAGTTTAGGAAGGGGGGAATTTCAGATGTTAACTCTTCAGTGGAAGTTGACTCTTTGGCCAAGTAAACTGTCACTTACAGATGTGGTTTCATAGGGTTTGGAAGGCCACTGCCACCCCCTCAGGTTAAAGGGAAAAATCTTCATCTCCTTTGGCTCAATGCCCAGCTCATGCCAAACAAAATCAGGTATTAATGTTACAGAAAAGTCTGTCTCAAAGCTAGACTTTAGCACCTTAGTTCTTAGCACTTATTCAAGTGCTTAGCACACAAGAAGCCCTTAATGAATATTTTTTGAAGGAATGAGTGGACAAACATGTAAATGAATGATATATATTTATGTTATTGCTGATCTAACTTAGAGATATATATTAGAGTTTACAAAACAACAAGGAAGTCATAAAGAAGCAAAAATAAAAATAGCAGTTAGGTCAAGTTTAAATTCTGCTAACCTCTCATTCACTAATTCACTTAACAACTATTAACACTGGATGCCCGCTCTGTGCAAGCAACTGTATAATTTGTTGTAGATGGTAACTAAACATCAGGAAGCTGATGATAATTAATGAATGAAGGAGATCAAACACATCCTTGAATGTATACATAAATGTGAAATATCTAAGGAAAAGAATAATGAGTCACGTGAGAGCGAGAGTGAACATGCATTTTAGATAGAGGATCGGGGAAGGCGCTTCAAGCAAACATTCCCCAAAGGTCCCCCTTGACACGTGAACTGTAAAATAAGCAAATATTAAGAAATACCACTTTTTCACAGAGCCATCCAAGTTGAGTGACTTGTGCACAGGTGCAGTGAACAAACAGCCCTCTCTTTTGGAAGCTGGCCCTGGGACCCCTACCCATCCCGGAGGCTCCTCAAACCATGATCTTTATAAGCTAAAAGCCAACAAAACACAATTAAGTTTTCAGAACTTGTTTACATATTACATATATCAGGTTTTTGTAAAATATGTAGACATTCAAACATACCAAGCAAATAATCTGTGTATGAAGACAAAATGTCCACAGTGGCAAACTCTGGGATATTTGGCAATACCATTTGATTGACTTCGTCAGTTCTAGCATTCTTCTTTCCAATAAGTAGGTTAATTGCTAGCACAGCTTCACTGACCTACAATTAATACATAAATTAGAATTCACAAAGATAAGTTTTCTGATTCATATATCATCCAATAGGTAAATGCTATGGATTGAATGTGTCCCCCTAAGTTCATGTGCATTGGAAACTAGATCCCCAATGTGGCGCTATTAGGAGGTGGGACGTTTAGGAGGAGATTGGGCCATGAGAGGTCTGCCTTCATGAATGGATCAATGCAGCAATCATCTGAGTGGGTTGTCCTCTCTCTCTGGCTCTTCTACCTTCCACCACGGGATGATGTAGCAGGAAGGCCCTTGAAAGATGCTGGTCCCTTAATCTTGGACTTCCCTGCCTTCAGAACTATGAGTCAGTAAATTTCTGTTTATTGTAAATTAACAAATAAACAATTTAATTAATGTATAAGTACTTTATACAATCTACCTCACCTGCCTACAGAATATATTTGCCAACATGTCAGTATGCATATATGTGTATGCACCAATATTTTCATTAAAGAAAAATTACAACATAGATTAAAAACACTATACACTATAGAGTATTTCTAATCTTTCCAAATAAGCATAATTGACATAAATCCCAAAGAATGTGAAAATTTCTTTTCTCTTAGATACATTGTGCTGCCTTAATAGCAAATAGGAGAATAACAATATGATGGTAATAAGAAAAATTAAATAAGAATCACACCAACCTGTGCCGCAGCCCTTATTGCAATCCAGACCAGTGAATTGTATATTTCTATTATATCTATTGTTGATTCCTTAATAGAACTATGCCTTCTGAAAAGAAGCTAAAAACATTAAAAAGGTTTTATGAAATATAAATACATCATAAAGTTTCTTGATAAATCTCATCATCTAAAGATGACATTTTGGTTGAATTAACTATATAACCATTAAGAATAATAATGTATCTGTAAAAGATATTAAAATCTATTAAGGAAAGAAAAAAATTACACAATTGCGCGCGCACACACACACACACACACACACACACACACATATTCCCTGTACATATAAGCTGAGAAAATTATTAACAATGATTATTCCAACTTTTAAGTTTGATTAAATTAATTTTACAATTTTTCTAATTTTTTATAATGAACTTGCATTGTTTGTGTAATATACAAATAAAAATGTCACTTTAAGTAAAATCAAATGCTGTTTTAATAGAGGGTCTGTAGATTGAGTACACTGTGGGTAAATGTGCCAGAAATGGGAATGTTACTCATAAGTTTTTGATAAGTATGTGCTATAATTTTCTAACCAGGAAAATGTTAAAAGGGCACTATTATAAAGTTCCATAGACTATCAAAAAATAAGCAATGAATGGGAACATTTTTTACTATGGGTATATATCTATATAGCTGTCTATGCACACATACACCCTCTTTCAGGTTCATACACACACACACAAACACATATATTTAAAAAAAAGAAAGGCAATGGCTACTATGGCTCTAAGCAGTGAGCACAAGGTGTTAATGGGGCTATGTAATCAAGTGTTGGGCTTAGAGGAGGAAGGTACCAGACAGATCTGCCTGTGGGAGATCAAGCAATACAGCCCTGTTCCAAGATAAGAAGACCCTAAACACTAGCTGAGTGGAACTACTTACATTCTGGGGTAGCAACTGCCAGCTTACCGGCTATATAAACTTGAACAATTTGCCTACTTAATTCTGGAAACAAGACTAATAGGCATGAAACAAAGAATACAGAATAACACTAAATAACTATAATGTGAGGACAATTAGGGACCCAGGCAATTTGAAAAGGAAAAAAAAAAGGCTCTTCTTACTTGAGAGGAAAGCTTCAATAAGGAGGTTGGGCTTGAGCTAAGGCTGGAAAAACTGGACTGGGAATGGATGTGGTGGACATTTTTTAGATGGATAGGGGTCAGCTCACATAAATATGACAGAAAAAGGGAAAAAAACAAGTAGTCTAGAAAGGAAGTAAAAGTATCTTTGCAGAAGACATGTTCTTATTCGTAGAAAATTCTAGTACACACACATAACAATAGAATCAAGGTCACAAGATACGAAATGCAACAATACACACAAGACAACTATATTTCTATATTGTATACACTAGCTATAAACAATCTGAAAATGAAAATCCTAAAAAGTCCATTCATAATAGAAGTAAACTTAATAAACATGTATAAGACTTTTGTGCTAAAAAGTAAAGCCCATGTTCAGAGAAATTAAATAAGTTCTAAATAAATGAAGAGACAATTCATATTCATGAATTAGAAGAGTTAATAGACTCAACACAAAAAAACAAAGAAAGATCCCAAAGATCCTATTTGTTTTGTTGTTTTGCAGAAATTGATAAGCAGATCCTAAAATGTGTATGAAAATGCACAGGACTCAAATTAACTAAGACAATTTTGAAAAGGAAAAACATAATTAGTTGGAGGACATGCACTCTGCAATTTAAAAACTTACTAAAAGCTACAGTAACAAAGGCAGTGAATAACCCCATAAAGGTAGATCAATGCAACTTTAAGGTAGACTTAGAGATCTTAGATGTGCCGCCAAAAGCACAATCAGCTAAAGAAAAATAAAGATAAATCTAACCTCATTAAAATTAAAAACTTTTATGTCTCCAAAAGCACTATTAGCTATATGAAAATACAAGCCACCATCTGGGAGAAAATATTTTGCAAATCATGTATTGATAAAAGACTTTTATCTAGATAAAAGATACGCCCTTGACAACTCAATGATAAAAAAGACAAATGACCCAAATGTAAAAAATGGGCAAAGGATCTGAAATAGACGCTTCTCCAAAGAAGACAGCAAATTGACAATAAGCACATAAAGGGATCTCAGCATCATTAGCCATAGGGACAAAACCATAGAGATACCACCTCATACCCACCAGGATAGCACCATCACAAAGGTGAATAAAAAGTGTTACCAGGGGTATAGAGAAATGGAAGCCCTTATACTCTGCTGGTAGGAATGCCAAATGGGGCAGTCACTTTGGAAAATGATCTGAAAGATCATTAAATGGCTAAATCTATAGCTTCCATCTGATCCAACAATTCCACTCTTAGATATATACCAAGATAACAGAAAGAGTATCTCCATGCTGAAAGGTGAAGATAAAGTCAAAGCAACATTAAGCCTAACAGACAAAAAATAAATAAATAAAACAATTCAAGTGTCCACCAACTGTCAAATTGATACGAAAACAGTCTCTCTATATAATAGAATACTATTGACAGTAAAAAGGAATAAACTTGTGACAAGCTATACATGGGTGAACCTCAAAAACATTACATGAGGTGAAAGAAGCAGGCACAAAACACGATACCTTGTAGGATTCCATTTATAGTAAATGTCTGTGAAAGGCAAATAGTTTTGTGGTTGTATGGAGCTGGGGTAGGAGAAGGATTGACTGCAAATGGGCACAAGGGATCATTTTGGGGATGGTGGAAATGTTCTAACACTGGATGGGGATAACAGCTGTGCAACCCTGTAAACTGGAGTCCTAAAATAGGTTAGTTTCATGGATGGAAATTGTATGTCAATTAAGTCTTTTTTAAAAGTATGCATGCTGATCTCTCTGAACTATTTTTCTCCCACTTAACTACTTGGAAAATTCTACTCATTCTTCAAAAATTCATCTCATCTTGGAAGCCTTCTCCAGCATTCCCCCAAAGCAGAATTACGTTGCCCGACTTTGCCACCTTGACATATTGTGTTTACAGTCCTTATCACATTGCAGTACAATTTTGCCTCTTCCTTGCCAGATTCTGTGCTCCTTGGGGAAAGACAGCAATGTGTCTGACATATGAAGACCTCAATAAGTGTTTGGTTGACAAACGAATAAATGAATATTGCAGAACTAGTAAATTCAACCTAACAGATAATTATTAAACACATACTATGTAAAAAATACTTTTGGAAAGAATGTAGATGTTTGGCTGAAATTATATAACAAGAGATAATAGTTTCATTTTCTGAGTGTTTATTATGTGCAAGGCAATTAACCTTGTTTATTCTCCTGACCTCTCCAAGAGGCACATGCCATCCATCATCTCTATTTCAGAGGTGAAGAAACCAGGAATGGAAAGGCCCCAATCACATGGGGGATATGTCAGGAAGCTGGGGTTCAAACCCCAAACTGCATGATATGGACAGTTCACAAAAGTGAAAAAACAATGTTTCTTGAGGATTCATAGTGTTGTCTTTATTTGGACAAATTTCAAATGCTTTATTTCAATGGTCTTGTATGTCTGAATGAAATGTTTCTATTTGTTTTTGGCTGTCTTCTGTGCTTCGTGAGACTTGCTAAAATGTTTATTCTGTGTCAAGATATATAGAAAATAATAATAATATTATATGGAATCACTACTCTTTTCATTCAAATCCTAACTTATTTATGCTCTTAATTTTAAGAACTTCTCTAGTATGGGCTAAAAAATGTGGTATGTTATTATCGTACCATCATATTAATTTGTATTGCCACTTGCTATGGAAACAAAATATTTATTCTCTTACTGGAAATAAACATGTTTGTCATACCACAAAAAGTAACTTTTTCTAGTATGTAATTATTTTAATTTAAAAAAAATAGGTGCCATCCACATAAGGCAACTACCATATAAATAATTCAACTGAGAGTCTACTTGCCTAAAGGTTTTAAATCATGTCTATGCTGTCCCCAAAATTAGAGACTTGATACCAACATTTTCTGCAAAGATCTCTTTGGGGAGTCAAGTGATTATTAAGTAAGGATGATCATCTATTGAAATTTAAAAAGTAAAATGACTGAGCTCATACACCTCAAAGCTGCCTGGGTTGACTCCTTCCTCTAGGATCTCCCTCAGTCTAGACCCTTAATACTCAAGTGTAGCCCAAGACCACCAGCATCAGTATTACCTGGGAGTTTGTTAGAAACACCAAACCTCAGGCCTCATCTTGGACTTCCTGAATCAGAATCTGCATTTTCCTAAGACTTTCAAAGATGTTTCCATACCTTAGTTTGCGAGAATACTGCTCTAGGTGACACGTTCCTTGGCAATTCTTTGCAGGGCTCCCTCCTTATCCATCCAATCCCACCTGGGACATCACATCTTCTGGCCACATTTATTTACAACCCCACAAACCCAAGTTAATTTCTAACCCTAAATTTCACTCCCTAAGTCACTCTCCCTGTCCCTCTTCCTCCCTTGGTCCCTCCCAGCTTCCTCCCTCTGACTTTCTTCCTTCACTGGCTCTGTCTGTTTCATGAGTGGCAAGCTGCATGAGGGAGGGACTGGACTCATCTAGAGCACTGCTTTGTCACTTTCCTCTAGAATAGTCCTGGGGCCACAGTAGGTACTCATAGGTACTTGACGAGTGAATGAACGAATGACTCTAGAGGTTAGCTGCTTATAGGCTGTGTTGGTAGTGAAAAACCTTACTTGTCCGTTTCGTTAGCCAATATATCATCTCCTGCAATATTCTGATCCGTACTAATGACTGGCTGCTTTAGAGTATCTACATGTATAACATTTTCACAAGCAAAAACATCTAAATGAAATCAATTTCCAGAACCCTACATAAAATGTCCAAAGAGACATATAAATACAAATGTGACTATAAAGTAATGAATTAATTTCTCCAAGTCACACAGGAAAATGCCTCATTATTTCAACAGCACAGCATTACTAAAATAGCAAAACAAAAGGCAATTAACTTATGATTTCTAAAACATTTGACTATTACCTTGAGTGCTAATGGTGTTGCTGAACTCTTTCTCTTTGGCTTCTTCAGATACAAATACCATAAGGCCAGTTCGAGGTAGGAATCTCTTATCAATCTAAAATGATATAACACTGTACTTATTAAATATCTTTACCACTGATAATCTCTTTTCATCAATTTGCTACCATTGTCTGTGCTCATTAAAGGTATATATTGGCAAAAATAGCATCCGTCTCAAACTCACACCCTCTTTTCATAGATTTGGCCACAGATACTAGAATTTTTGTCTCTGATATTGAAAGCCTTAGAAGAGAGCTGGGCATTCTAGCTTGAACAGTGTGGGCAACACTCCATGCTATGACTGCTCTGAAGCCCAGCATCAATACCTTTCTGGAATATTCCAGCACACAAGGTACTAAAGAAGGGATGTTCAGGATAAGATTACCTGCGTTGAAAACCAGCCCTGCACCTTACACTAATTAAAATTAAAAGCAATGGTGAAGTATGGATTAGGTCTATCAGTGGGGCTATAGAGATCAATGCTATTCTAGGAATGGTGGGTAACCTCAATCTTATGATGATTTTTATACAGGATTAAGTTGACCAGTCCTAATGTTGATGATCAGAGTGAATATCCACACAATCCCTTCAAGATACAGTATCATCTGAGGGAGGATCTTCTGGCTGGAAATCAATAGTGCAGAGGAAACCCCTTTTACTCTCACAATCCCAAGGCTGACAGGAGATTTGTGTAGAAATGATTAAATAGTTCGCTGGGCCATTATGACAATGGGCACCATCTACTGTTAATGTTGATGAGGCCTTGGGTCAAAGCCAAGGGCAAAATGCTTGAAAATCATGTCAGTAAATCTGAAGGACAGATGGATCCCACTGTACTAGCCTTGGCATGAAGAGGCCAATCATTCATTTCCATTTTGAATATCAAATGTCCTGCTGGAACATGGAGCTCAAACCAATACAAACATTGCTACAACAAAGCTAGGTTTTTACCCTGAGTTTTGATCATTTTTCAAGCTGAGTTGTATAGCTTCATATAAACTCTCAAGTTGCAAAGTTGGAGATTTCTCTTCCATCATTATTTGACGTTCTATTTTGCCTAGAAGAAGAAAAAGATATACAATAATATTTTTCCACCTTTTCTATCATTTTGAACTTAAAGACAAACATTACATGATAGAAATTCACAAAACTGGATATGCTGTTCTCTTGTCTATCTGTAGTTTCTTGCTGAATGATAAGCCAGTGGTGGAAGACCTGTTGCTTCTTTCTCTAAGAGTCTCAGGCTTCTAGAATCTTCAGTCAGCAATACTGATTCAAGATGCCTTTGGCTTCTTCAACACGACTGGCCTTACCATGTTATTTTTCTGTTTCCTTGCTTAGTTTTCTCACTTCTCCTATATCTCATGTTTCCATTCTCTCTCTGCTTTCCCCCTTTCTCTATTTCAAAAATATCATAGAAAACAGAAGTAAAAAGCTGCATTCTGATACACGGTAGCATTATGCACAACAGCCAACACACAGGATAAACCTGAGTCCTCACTGAATGGATGAAGGGGTAGAGAAAGTGTGGTGTATATACACAATGGAATGCTATTCACCATCAGACAAGAAGGAAATTCTGTCATATGCAACCATACAAGTGATCCTGGGACATTGTGCATGGTGACCATAATTAATAAGACTGTATCATATATATGAAAATTGAAGAAAGCAAATCTTTAAATGCTGTCACAACAACAACAAAAAATAAGTATATGAGGTGATGAATATGTAAATGAGTTGATTTAATCATTCCATCATGTGTACATATATCAAAACACCTCCAAAATATATATAATATTTTTGCCAATCAAAAATAAATTTAATTTTTTTTCAAGTAATCACAAGCTTAATGGAAAAAAAAATCCTAAAAAAATCAAATGCTTGAAAATCCTCTATGATTCTAGTACCCACCCCCATTGCCCTCATGGTGATCCCCATCATTCAAATGTAGGCCCTAAGTGAGCACCTCTGTAGCAAAGAGGGCAGGACAGGGAAATCTTGTAGTCACTATTGGCAAGATTCACACTTTTCATGTGGAAAAGGCACAGAGCTGGCCAGCACTGAGTTCACATCTGGGCACTATCATTTAGTAGCTGCTAACTTTGGGAAAATTTACTTAACCAGACTATACCTCGTTTTCCTCATTTGTCAACTAGGATTAGACATGCCTAACTCATAGAGGTTGTAAGAATTAGCAATGTAAGATGTGAAACATTGACAATACTACTAGATGGTTGGCATCTAGTAGATGCTCAGTAAATTATAGTAATCATCACCCTTTGTTTTTCTCCTTAAGAGGCCACAATAAAATTATATGCATTTTACATAAATTGATATTGTATATAAGTTGTAAGTATAGGTATGTGATAGCTATTTAATTTCAATTCCCTTACTTATGGAAATTAATAAAAATGTTTAGCTGGGTAATAAAATAATATAGGAAAAATATTTTCCAAGAATCATTTAAGTAATATTATCTATAGCCACATAGTTGATACTGATATTTCATAGTCAAACATGAAACTGAATAAGAAGGGTCAATTAAAATTATATAAGAAACCAAACAGAAATTCTTTCTTTCTAGAAATAAACAAGTAGTGCTCTTTTATCTAAAACTGAGTTTGGCAGGGGTGTCAAGTTGCTTTTGACATTACCAAGGCCTTGGTAAAAAAAAAAAATGTAATGTTTATAGTCAAGAATGCTGTTGTTAAGAAAAATATTTTACAAACTTTATATAGTTCTGACCCCAAATATGTCTTACCTTTCTGAAAGAGGATTTCAGCTTCTACCTCATATTCCTCCATAGCCGTTATCTTACAGAGCCTCAGTGCAACATCAAAAAGATGAAGAGCAGGTAACCACTTGGAGGAGTCCTTCTTTTTATTACTGTTATATACCTGTTTGGCTAATGTATGTCCTAAAAGGAAAACAAGTGGGTGGGGGCAAAACAATAAAATACACAGTGGTCATAGCAAGCCTCCACGTTACCATTCCTCTCTCACAGTAATGGGGTATTTGTTAACAACTCTGGTGGTCTTCATGGTTTTTAGGATTCGAGACATTAAGGAAAAAGAATACCCAATATTTCAATGAATGGCCGTAATTACATCTTTCATAAATTTCCAACTTATTATTGTTTTTTCTCCAACTTATTATCTTGTTTTTAAAATGAGAGATGATATCTCAAGTCTCTTTTAGTTCTAAAATTTCATGATGCTCTACAAAACAACTTTTATATTTCTGAGATGAGGTCATTATTAGAGAAACATCTGGGAGTTTTATGTTGCTCCCATCAAAATTTGCATACATTGCTAGATATTGGTTTTCTATTAAGTACTACAGTGGTTACTTGCTATGCTATGCCATATATGTATGTATGTATGTATGTATGTATTGTCATCCCAACAAGTGTCCCTGCTACACTTATATGGGACCATCATCACTTAACATAATAAAGGATTGGTGGAAGGAACAAACATTTTTTTAACCTATGTGGCCTCAAAATCAGACAGACATTAATGCAGCAAATATTTTCTGTATTTTTAAGCACTAGATAAAAATGATCAAAATGAATAATAGATTAAGGTTAATTAACTGCTTTCCACATGCCAGGTACCATCTCATGTAATTAGCCTGTATTATCCCTATGATCCTTGCAGCTCTGAGTGGGGACCATCATCATGCTAACTTAACAGAGGGCACAGCAGTGGTTCAAAAATATTTAAGTAACTTTCCCACAGTCACGTGGCTAGTAAAGAGCAGAGCCATAATTGTGTGTGGCAAGGAAAATACAAGGTTCTGTGGTGGCAGGTTAGGGAGCCCTGGCTTACTGGGGAAAGTTGTCCAGGCTGATGACTGATGAGCACCCTGCTTTTGGTAATTTTAGAGTAGAAAGTGGCTGGGGAAAAGAGTAGAAGAAAACGGGGTCAGGGTACTACTTTGAAGAATAGTTGAATAAATATAAGAAAGGAGCATGAACAGAAGGGCAGCATAGGATGCACAGTACAGATGCTTGATTCCAGCTGAAGTGCTGGGTCCTGGCCAGTCACTGGAGCTACCATGTCATTTGAGGCTTTGAACCTCCATGCCTCTGGGTCTTAAGTGTCTTTCTCAGAAACAGTGAGGTAACAGAACTAGAAAATACCTGCGATCCTGTTGGGTTTGGAAATGTTTTCGATTCCAAGAAGCCAAAAAGTTCTTTTTCAAAAAAAGAATAGTACTTTTTGTAAATTTTTAGTTCAGGGAATATGCTATATGGATGGCAAGATGAAATAAAAATTTCTTTTTCCTTACACCCCCCAAAGAGAAGTTACTAAGCCCTTACTCTGGACCAGGCAGGATGGTGCAGAGTATTGATATACAACGATACTTCATTCTCTTCTAGAGAACCAGTTGCCATCTCTGCCTTCAAAGAGCCTATTATTTAGTTATTTAGAAATTATTGATTTTCTCTCTCCTCACCAGCTAACTAATAGGCTCTTTGAAGGCAGAGATGGCAACTGGATCCCAATTACATCACCACTCCCCAGTATTATTCTTGCACATAAGTGGTCCTCAGCAAATGGTGGTGGATTGAAACAATGAAATTTAAGTGACTTTTATTTGCTACTTACAACAAGTAATCCACTTTTTCATCTCAAAGAAAGCTCAAGTTAAGGTAATTAATGGGAAAGTAATCTTAAATAATCATAATGCTTATTCTTGTTTTCTAAAAATAAACTCAAAATGTTATCTTCCATTTTCAGAAAGAAAAAAAAACTTTAAGTGGCTTTATTCTTGTGATGCAATCTATATTATAAAGAATAACTGTCAAGAAAGCAAGTCTCAGATGATTTTGTGCCTCATAATATTGAAGTGTTCCTTTTTCCAGTAAACATCAACTCTGTGAAAAAGAAGTTGTGAAACTAACATTGTTTTGACAGAAAGTCTGCTTTTGGTTTTGTTTTTAAAGTCTGTATTTAATATAATATACCAGAAAGCAAGCTGTTCAGCTTCAAATGAATCTAAAAAGCAGCAACAGTATTGTCATTGAGTGGTGACACATCTTCAAGATTAGTAAGTCAGAAAAGTAGAAAATAGAAAATACATTTGATTTTACACAATCTGTACTTAAAGCTCATGTGGAAATCAAATTTCCTGATAATATAACAAATTTGCAGATTAGAAAGGCATAAAAATAGCTCTCATTGGATCTTTGAACTGGGAGGAATTTGAGAGTCCAACTAAATCAAGCTAGCTTCATAAACGAAGACTTTTAACAAAATAAAGTAATTTACATTAGATAATTAAATTCATATCTGATAATCATCATAATAATGATCAATATTAATCATGAAAGGGAGAGAGTGGGAAGGTTCTGAACACATGATTGCGTGAGTGTGCCCTTACTGGCCTCCCTTTCACTATCTAATCCAACCATCCATTGACCTCTCCTGACCAAGCAGCTGCTGGTGCAGGAGGCAGATGGGTCCTAGAAGGCGATGGCGAGAACAGGCAGAGTTGGCGCCCAATTTTGTGCATTCTGTACTAGACAAATGCTGTGAAACAGAGACAGCATCCTGGAGAGAGCTTGAGACAATGTCTGAGCAATCCAGAGAAGGCCAGCTCTGAATGGCTGCCTTCTTGGCTTTCCCAGGAACTCTGAGGGACCTGACAGTGACCTAAGTGCTCCCCACTCCTGAGCACCCTCCTGGTGCCTCAGGAGGGAATTACACTCTGGAGGCTGGTAGAGGAAGAACTAGCTATTTTGATGGCGATCTGCAGCATTACCCCTGCTGAAGTTAATCCACTAGCTGGACCTCGACCACAATTAAGTAGACAAAGTAAGACATCCAAGCAAAAAAGATGACCAGCCGCCAGCAAGAGGAAGAACAAATATAACTACCAGAAAAGCATTAGAGAATAGAAAGATTCAATCAGTGAAATAAAATTGATTGTAAATAGGATGACAAGTTAAAGCAAGAAAAAAATACAGCATTTGTAGAGATATAAAGGTATCAGATGATTTTGAAAAGACGGTCATTGATGAAATCTCAGTTAATGATACAGAAGATCATATAGAAATTTAAGTGACTTTTATTTGCTACTTACAACAAGTAATCCACTTTTTCATCTCATAAGAAAACTCAAGTTAATTTATGGGAAAATAATCTTAAATAATCATGATGCTTATATCATGATGGTATAAGTAACTCATATCATGATGGTATAAATAAACAGAAATTCTGCAAGATGATAGACTTGGAAGACAGATCTAAACTCGACATACAAATATTAATATTCAACACTCAGTAGTGCCTACTATGGTCTAGGTACTGGGGTAGGCATCTTTCTTATTTAGTCACCTATTCGATAGAGCCATTATTGTTCCCTGCTATGATCTGAATGTTTGTGTTCCCCATTCATGTGTTGAAACCTAATTCCCACAATGATGGTATTAAGAAGTCAGGACTTCAGCAGGTAGTTAAGTTTGTAAAAATGGAACCCTCGTCAATGGAATTAATGCCCTTATAAAAAGGGGCTTCAGGAAAGCTGTTTGCCACTTTTACAATGTAAGGACCAATAAAAGGCACCATTTATAAAGCAGAGAAAGCCCTCATCAGCTACCAATTCTTAATCTTAGATTTCTAGCCTTCAGAATGGTGAGCAATAAATTTCTCTTATTTATAAATTTCTCAGTCTAGGGTATTTTGTTATAACAACTTTAATTGACCAAGACATTCCCTATTTTAAAAATAAGAAGACTAAGGAGAAGAAATCACATGCTGGAGATTTTTACCTAAGCAGGCTGGCTCCAGCTCTCAATAGTAGCTGAAGAAGAAACTTTGAACAGAGAACATGCCTATGCAGTGATTAAGCAAGAAGAAAATTTCCCAGAGCTTGAAAGAGACTTTCCTGCAGATTGAAAGGGCTCACTGTGCTCTAGGGCAGAGAAGGAAGATCCATATACTCAGACATGTGCTGGTAAATTTCCAGAACTATGAGAAAGGGAAAATCTTACAAGTTTTTTGACAGAAAGAGCAAATTTCTTACCAAACGAAAAGAAAAATTAGACTGACATTGCAGTTCTCATTTGCAACATTTGAAGCTAGAAATGGTGGAATAACATCCATCAAATCCTAAAGAAAAGGCCATCCCCCAAGATTCTGACACTGAGCTGAGACAGCACATCATTCACCTGTCAGAGCACAGAAGAGCCTTTGCCGAGAACCATAATTCAGAGAGTATAGCAGCTGGTTATCCCATTGGGGGAAAGAATTAGAGAATAGAAAGATTCAATGAACAATCCATGAAGCAGAACACAGGCTGGAAGAGAAGATGAATGAAGACGAGGTGGAAGGGAGAAGCAGCAGCACTTGCCCAACAGTCGGATGACTAACATGGATATTATTATTAAAAAGAAAGAGTTAAAAGGGAAAAAAATAAAGTTATTGGCATCAAAAGGCACTAAATCATCTCAGTAAAATCTAGGAGTTGTAGAGAGTGGGAAAGAAGGAGAAAAATTTCTATCGATCTTCTCTAGAAGGTGAGATTAAAGGAGGGACATAGCATTCACCCTAAGATCTCACCAAGATGGGGATGGGCCTGGAGGGAAGCAGGTCAGAGTCCCCAGAGGCCGGAGGCAGCCAGAGCTGGGTAAGATAGAAGGCACCCACAGGCTTGAGTCTGAGGACTGGGAAAAGAAAAGTACAAAAGAGGTCTAAAGTAATAATAGAAAGAAAGAAAATGATGAAAACCACTTGATCAAACTGACAGATAAGGAAACTGCAGTCAAGAAAGTAGAAAAGATAAATTAAAACGTAAAGAATAATAACAACAGTAATATCTTTTACTGCATGACTGCTCTATGCCAGGCACTGTTTAATACTTTATCTCATTTACTTCAAATATGTAGGGTAAATGGCCCTGTTCCCACTTCACAGAAAAGACACTGGTGTCCAAGAGCTTAAATAAGTTGTAAGATCAGACAACTAAGGAGTAATGGCAAAATCCAAGCTAAGCCCTCCAGATTCCAAACCCTCATCTAGACAGCTCGCTCTGCACTCTCCACCTGTGCTTTTCTGTTCTGTTAACCTTCTTTTTGCATCACTGTTCACTTATTTATTTTCTTTAAATATTTGAAAAGGCTCTAATATTCTACTATGTGTGAAAAATGGTGCTAGATGCTAAAGGCTTGATTTTTATTAGGTTTTTATCTTCACCAATGAATACTTCCTGGACAATCTTTTTCTGTCACAAAAGTGTTCCTTGTGGAAGATTTAAAGAGGAGAGTTAAGCAAAAAGAAGAAAATAAACATTATCTATAATCATACCAGCCAATGAAAGGTTTATTGGTGTAAATCTTTTTTGTCATTGTTTTCCCGTGGTTTTCTTGCCTTGAATTGCTTTTTTTCTTTTTGCTTTTGTACATTTTTTCAATGTAGTAAACATCTTTCCATCGTATAAAAATTTCTGCAAATTCTTTATTAGTGATTGCACAGTAGTCCCCTAGAGGAAATAAGTCCAAAAGCACCATTATTGATCGATTAATTGTTTGATTGATTGATTTCAGGCACTGTGCTAAGTGTCTGGCATATCAGGAGGGCAAAAAAAAATGTCACCTTAAGAAGTCTTGTTATAGTTTGAATATGAGGTGTCCCCTAAAGCTCCTGTGTTAATGTGGGAATATTCAGAGGTGAATGATTAGATTTTGAGAGCTGTAATATAATCAGTTCTTCCTAGTTTGAACTGACTGTTTGGGTGGTAACTATAGGCAGTTGGAACATGGCTGGGGGAAGTGGGTCACAGGGGACATGTCCTAGAAGGGTTCATCTGCCCAGCCACCCCTTCCCTTTTCATCTCTCCTCTCTCTGCTCCCTGGCTACCATGAGCTGAGTAGCTTTCTTCCACCATGCCCTTCTGTCATGATGCTCTGCCTCACCTTGGGTCCAGAGCAACAGAACCTGGCTGACCGGGGACTGAATTTTGGAAAACTAGAATAAATTAATAATCCTAAAATAAACTTTTCCTCTTCTAAGTTGTTCTTATCAGGTACTTTGGTCACAGTGATGAAAGGCTAACACAAGTTTACAATAAAATGGAGTCTTCAAGCAAGGACACTGGCCCTAATAACCAATCTGATGAGTTCTACAATAAGAATAGCCAATTAGCAGGGGAGTGAGACCCATAACCCAGTCTTGAGGGTCAGGAAAAAATTTCCAGAGGATGCAATGCTTAGAGGAGTTCTGAAGGATGAACAGAGTTAAATAAAATGTATCTACATGTGTGCGAGAGCCACAGAAGGACATGAGAGTGGAGTTTCTGGGGAAGACTGTTCCAAATGGAGACAATAGCTAGTGCAAAGGTCTAAAGCAAGCATACGCCTGGAGTGGTGCGGTGCGACTAGAGTGTTGAAGAGGTGAACAGGTAGCCCAGGACCACATCATAAGGAGTCCTTGAAACAAAAAATAAATGGAGAGTGTTTATTTAAAGGGAGAAACTATGTAAACAGAACTTACAAAGGTAATGAAGAGATCAGAGAGGGAGGAGAAAAACTGGCCCAAGGCAGTGCCTAATGGTTAGGAAAGCGGTTTCAGGAAGTTGTGAGCCATGTCAGCAGGCAGTATCAAATGCTCCTCGGTCCATAGGGGCAAGGTCAGAAAATCACACCTTGGAGTTATGACTGATTTAACTCTCTGTGGCCTCATCAAGTGTGGGTTTTCTGGTCTGGATGGAGAATGGAGTGAGATAAAGAGCGAATGGGAGGTGAGGAAAGGGGAAGGAGGAAACAGAATTCATTCTAGCTGGCAGTGGATGTTGGAGGGAGAGAGAGACTTAGGGTAGATTTGTTACCTTAATTGTACTTGTTGTTGTTTTCTTTTTTAAATTAACATAAGAGTAGAACATATTTACAAATCTATAGTGTGAGAAAAGGACACAGTGAGTAAGGACAGTGGAAGACGTGAGAGAGGGTTAAAAATGCTGGAGCAGGACCCGGGAAGGACAGAGGAGCTGGGGAGCTAAGCAAAGTCAAGAGGCTTTGAGGAAGAGGGAAGCTGCTCCCCTGGCACAGGAGTGAGGCAGAAGGAGGTGGCAGCTATGACCACACAGAACGGAGTGTCTCCCAACGGCTCAGCATGCAGATAACTGGAAACCATACCACCCACCTGGCATTTAGAATACTGTTATCAGATCCACTATCTGAGGTGCCAGCTAATGTATTATGAAGAGACATAGATGCTGTGCCTTCAAGACACCTTATTATTATCATTATTTTAATAAAAATAAGAAGACTTTTGACAATTCCCACATTTATAAGGCATAAGTTCATTTCCTAAAATTTTACAAACAAGTTATCAGAGCTCAGAGAAGAGGAATATCACCTTTGTTAATATATTTATTAAAGCTGTTTTCTCAGTTCATTGGCATTTGTTAAGCATTTTTAAAGATAGAGCTCTTAAAAGCATCCATTATAACCTAAAAGACTAATGCATTTTACATATTACATATTTACATATTTTACACTAACAAAAATAGTGTTATTGAAGAAATATGTTTTGTATTTTCTGTTTGTATGATTTTTCAAAATAAATATTCTGAAATACATAGTAATTCTAAAGTAGACTACATGGGTATAATTTCAATCCAAATGATTGATTAACTAGATAAAATGCAATAGTCCAAAACAATTAGTTAGGCATGTTATAATTACTGTAATCACCTTCACACTCTAATCATATATAAAGATTAAATACATCACTGAGTCTGACATGTGGTAAGTGATCAAAATTGTTAAATAAATGAAGCCAGGGTGTTCATAAACACTACTCCTTTTAAATGCACTCATATGATAGCTTACCTGAAAATAACTTGAAATGTTATATCTGTCACACACAATACTCACAAACATTCAGATTTAAACATGTATATGTTTAAATGTTCTTACCAATTCTCATTTTTATTTTGGCCAGTAACATAACATGAGGAAGATAGATATTTTTCAAAGGTTGTAATAGATTTTTATATTCAGTGTTTGATAAATGCAAGTCAATTGTTTCCCCAAAAGTTAGCATCTATGAAAGAAATATTATAATGAACAATTAGTTAATGTAGTTTGGAATAAAAAAAAAAGACAAAAGGTAAACTTCTACATCTTGTGGGACACAAAAACATTCTCACCTGTTCAATAATAATGTTGTGAGCCTGGGTCAAAAATTGTAACTTGTCTGGTTTTGAATAGGGAGATTCCTTGAATTTCTCAGCTTTTGTTAAGTCATCCAGTAGAACAAGGCTTTTCGCCAGAGTTAACAAAGATCGAGGAGAAAGAAATTCTTTTCCTTCAAGCAAATGTATTATATCCTATTAAAATAAAAATATTCCATTTGCTAGTACTTTTTCTAATTCACCTAAACAGAACTGGCCCTGTTGCTTGGTATGCATTCAGTACCTAATGGAATTTAAAATTCTCTCCTTTTATTCTAACTGGAATCCTTCCTAAATATAAATATGCACAAGGTTTTCTTCTTACCTGAAGGTCTGTGATGATGTCTGCCTTTAAATGCTTTTCTTGCAGGCCAAGGATTACAGCTTGCATCAAGAATTCAGCCTGTAGTTCTAAGTCCTCTGCACTTTTTGCTTCCACGTATAACTCACGGATGAGGCTCAAACAATCTGTCATATCGTTCTCTAAGATAAATAAGTGTGGCTATTTAAAATGCAGTGAGAAAATAAGAAAGCATATATGTATAACATCTGCAATGCTCATCACAGTAATATTGCATAAGGTCAAAGAACAAGAGGATATTAAGATGGAAAACAGACTCTACAGGAAATGCAGAAAAAAAATTGGTGCAATTTGGGGCAAAGTACTTTAGGATATTCCAGTTCTATGAAGTAACAATAATATTACATGAAATACTTTAAACTTGGGAGAGAGACATGAGTGAATAGAGAGGTATACAAATAGAAAATTATTACTCACTGCAAGTACTACCATTTATATGTGCCAGGCTATATTATCTAAGATTAAATTTAGCCCATTTAATTCTGACACTCGTATGAAGTGGGTATAATTATCTTCATTTTACAGAGCAGGACACTGAGGCACACAAAGACTGAAAGAGTTGGCCGAGAAAGACTTGGTGAGGAAGTGGTAGATCCAGCATCTGAACCCAAATTTGATGGTTCTGAGACTGGTGCTCCTCACCCCTGTGCTTAGCCACTTTCCAAGATGACAAATCTCCCTGCTGTTTTGCACTGTGGTAATATATATGCCATAATGTTGGAAAATATTATTTTTAATTAATACCAGATTTTTTAATTCTGGAAAGAGATCAAGCTAGAAAGTTAGAAAATGTGAATGCTATATATCAGCAAGGTGGCACATGCCTTTAATCCCAGCAACTCTGGAGGCTGAGGCAGGAGGATCAAAAGTACCAGGCCAGGCTCCACAATTTAGCGAGGCCCTCAGCAAAATTTAGCAAGATGCTTACTCAAAATAAAAAGTACTAGGGATGTGGTTCAGTGGTTAAGTGACCCTGGGTTCAATCCCTGGTACAAAAAAAAAAAAAGTGAAAGTTATAGCAAAAGATATCCCAATATATTACTGCTCCTTCATCTGTATAAAATTGCATTTTGTGGAAACATTGATTAAGAAAATAGTACATTAGTACCTTTCACAATTCCAATGCCGCGAATTTGTGAGACAAAAGCAGTCACCAGTGCTAAGCGGCACCTCAACCACAGATGAATGTTGAAATATTCTCGAGCATTCAGGGAAACAGGGTCCAAAAACTCATCATCTTTATTTTCTGAGGTCTAAACAATATTAAAATAATGGTTATCTTCTCATTTCATAACGATGAAGTTCTAACCTAAGGCCAAATGTAAGCTAAGCATCCAATATCATTTCATAGTGTTCAGTTTTTAAATTGAGAAATTATTTTGTATATCTATAAAATATAAAAATTATATTGTCAGCAGTTTCTATGTCATCAAAAGTTTTTTAAAACACTATTTTAAGGGCTGAAAAATAATAAATAACATTCCCTAATATTTATTGAGCACTTATTATGTGTCAGGTATTGTACTACATGCTTTATACACAATATCTCATTTAATTTTTCTAACAGCCAAAGAGGGGTTATTGCTATTTCTGTTTTACAGTTGGGAGAACGGAGAGCTAGAAAGGTTAACTAACTTGCTTAACCTAGGTGGGACTCAATGCTGGTAGGACTCAACTCACTGTGTGTTTTCCTGGGTTTCAAATCCAGTCTTAACTGTCTGTGTTACATTGCTTTGTGTGGCTCTCATTCCAAGAATGTATTATAACTGATTTACCATCTGTGTTATTATACTTTAAAAGAGGTGATGGGTGCCCATAGCTACTGGGAAAGAAGCTCAGAGGAAGCTTGTTTTGGGGGAAGTCAATCATAGACTATCAGGGAAATTTAACTCCCCAGCCCTTTGTTCTAGAATTTCCTGCCAGGGATCGTGTCCAACCAATTGGCACTACCTGCTATCAGGAAGCTGCTAATGGGACTTGAAGGGGGCTAGAATGTGAACAGACAGGTGGGATATACAGGAAAAGAAAGGTGAGTTATTCCTGAGAACAAGAGTAATCGGTGAACAGAAGCCACGCAGGCAGGATGGTGATTAGAATGGGCCAAGTATTCAAGGAATCTAGTATTTAGAAGAGAAATACAGAAAACAATGTTCATCAATAAAACTTAATCTTTAAGTGCTTTTATTTCATGTTCCTAATGAAAAGCCAATTCTCCTTCAACTTAATCAAGGTTTTTCAATCTTGATGCTTTGATATTTGAGGCCAGATAATTGCTGGGGTGGCAGGGGACTCTCCTGTACATTATAGGATATTTAAGCAGCATGTCTGGCCTCTACCCAACTGATGCCCATAGCACCCCACCTCTAGTTGTGACAACCAAAAATGTCTCCATGCATTGCCAACTCTCCCCTGGGATGTAAAATCACCTCCAGTTGATAACCATTGTTCTAAGACAATTTTTAGAATTAGATTGCTTTTTAATATGGTTAGTACTTTTAATATAGCTAGAAATGAGTCTTTATTTAGTATAATTAGCTTTGCTAATTTGTAATGATGCTGGATATTAGCTATTTTATTAGTAATTCTTGAAATAATGTGCAAGAATTCCATGTAATGAATCTTAATATTTTAATCCTAATCAACCCTATATTGTTAAATTATATGCTCTTATCAAAGTCTAATCATAGAATTTATGCACAGTTCTCAAATACATTGGAAATCTAAAATATGGAGTACGCTATGAGGAATCCAAAGGAAGAAAAAGTACAGGTATTTTACTGGTCATGCCCAGATAATAAACTCAAAAGCAGAACAGACAGTAAGTCTCGTAAGACAACTTTATGTGTAGTAAGAACATATCTAAACATTACAACGATCCATCTTGATGGAACTTTAGAGACTATTATATCCAATTCCATCCGTTCGCAAATAAAACTGCAACAATTCTCAAATTTTAAGAGATTTTCTCAAGGTATTCCTGTGAATAAGTACAATAAATGGGACCTAAACTCAGGTATTTTTATTCTGAATTCAGTGTTCTTTTTGTACTTTACTCCTTGGCTTCACCCAAATAATTAGACAATCTCCTAGCATGCCAATAGTCATTATGCAGTAAGTATTATAAGGAGAAGTGTAATATTCATACATACAGAAGTGCCTGGAGAAAGGGGCTTCTCTGCATCATCTTTCGTTACATTCTTTTTAAAAAGTTTTGAATCTTGCAGAAGTTTAAGTGTGGAATATACTATTGCAGCACTAAAACACAGAATATATTTTAAATGTTATTAGAATAATTGTAGCATTTTTATGTTATTTCTTAAGTTTAGTTTCACACACACAAAAAAAATCTTCCCACACCCCCAGCCACCCTCAGAAGGGGATCAGATATTCCTTCTACATGCCCTTTTAGCACCTTGGTTTCCTTTATGTGGTGTTTTTATCACACGATTTAATCCTCTGGACATATCTCTACAGCTCATTTGTTTCATTTCCTTTAGAAACTTGTCATCTAATACAGTGACTGGGATATAACAGAAACTAAAAATAGGGTTTGTTGTTTTGGTTTTGTGTTTTGGTAGGGAGTTACCGGGGATTGAACTCAGGGGCACTCAACCACTGAGCCACATTCCCAGCCAAAATATTGTATTTTATTTAGAGACAGGGTCTCACTGAATTGTTTAGTGCCTCACTGCTGCTGAGGCTGGCTTTGGCATCATGATCCTCCTGCCTCAGCCTTCCAAGCCACTGGGATCATAGGCATGCACCACCATGCCTGTCTAAAAATAGGTTTTTGTCCCCACATTTCTTATTGGTGCACTGCACTTGTACATAATGGTGGGATTTGTTGTTATACATTCATACTACAAACAGTTTTTAAAATAAAAATGAGTAAATAGAAGAATGTATGAATGCATGCTTTTAAGATCTAAAACAAAATTTACTGACATTTTTTAAAATGAACAAATATATTTTATATGCATTAGAATGTGGTTCTCCAGATTTACTCAATTCTATATAGTTGGAAACTCTTAAACTAAAGTATTGCTTGATCAATGTTTAGCAGTGCCAGAAATTAAATGTACTAAACTAACAGATGCCAAGAGAGAGGGATTTTTACTTCCTATTGCTCCATACATACATAAACCATTGCATCCTCCTCCCCTGTATAAACTTATACTTCACATCACATTTTTTTTCAAAATATCTTACATATTAAGCTGCCTTCTTTTAAAAATCTATTCCAAAACAAAACTCAAAATACAGAACAACATGTATGGTTGAAGAAGCTCATTGCAGTATTATTTGTAACAGAAAAAATTGGGCAAATCCCCACAGGGACTCTGTTCATGGGGGCTTGGGTGTGTGTCGTCAGGCCTGTGCCTGCCTCCCCTACAAGAACAGTAACTGGAAGACGTAACACACCACCTGGGGGCAGGGTGCTTTACCTGGAGTTGACCACGGCATCATGAACCTCAAGGTCAGCAGAGTCAAGCTGTCTCTTCCTCCATGCTCTTTACCTCTTCTCTTTTACCAGGAAGAGGTGATTTCTTATCACAGGGGACTAAAGAGGAGCAGAGACTTTCTCCTCTATTCATAGTTTGCTGCCATCCCTCTTATCTCTGCGGCTCTGCCCAGATCTCTCTGTCTTTCCACACTGTTCTATCTTGAGACTCTACCCATCCCAGAGAAAGGCAAATCAAGTCCACATCCCAGAGTCACACTGAAAAGTGAAGCAAACTCTTCTGATGCCTGTTCTGATGAATGAGGAGTGTCAGCCCATCAGCCTGGGGAGGACCTGCCTTTCTAGAGGGATTTCATATGGGTTTCATTTCCTTCCTTGCCTCTAGTGCCTGTCAGCCTAGCTTGTATCATGTAGTTTTTACATTTATTCATTTGAATCAATGGATTGCTTGATTTTAAAAAATTGGGTAAAAATCCAAATGGACAAAATATTCATGATTCCCTACTTGGTATCTCCAATTTGGATTTTTAGCAGACAGTCACATTTAACAGGTGTTATGAGGTATAAATTCAGTCCCTCCAAAAAAGCATGCTGATATCCTGATTCTCAGTACCTCAAAATGTATTTTGATCTTCAAAGTGTAAGGTGAATAATTTAGTACTTACTATTTCATTACCTATTTCTTCCATATCTGTATAGTTACTATAATCCGATATCTTACCCCTAGATCATTATTTTTTTTTTAGAGAGAGTGAGAGAGGAGAGAGAGAGAGAGAATTTTTAATATTTATTTTTTAGTTCTCGGCGGACACAACATCTTTGTTGGTATGTGGTGCTGAGGATCGAACCGGGGCCGCACGCATGCCAGGCGAGTGTGCTACTGCTTGAGCCACATCCCCAGCCCCACCCCTAGATCATTATTATCACCTTTGTATTCTCTCAGCTTTGAGGGCAATCAGTTTTGACCCTTGCACTTAGCAAACATCATCTAGACTGAGCACAAATCCATTTGCAATGCCCCATCACTAGTCATTTTTACAGAACAAATTCCTGAGCTCTTAATCATGAGATGTATCTCTTTCATTGGCTGCAGTACTTCTTTAAGTCCCCATACAGTCTCAGAGCACCAACCCAGGATTTTGCACAGTGAATCCTTCTGTCTTCATGAATCCTCATGTTTTACAATGGAATATGAAAGAAAGAAGAAACTATCAGGAAATATTTTCCTAGTGGTATCTTTAGATGGAAATCTGTACTTTAAAGATTTGTTTATTGTTTTATCTTTACTTTGTAAGAGAATGAATATCCTTCCATGTGTTAATATACTAGTTATAATTTCTCTTTTGGATGAAGGATTTATAGTAGCTGATCATTTAGCAACAGTTTTTTTTTTATCAATCTATCACCAACTATATTTAAAAATGATATGAACTATTTGACATATTTACTGCAGGTACAGTTTTGTTTTGCTATATACTGCAGTTGTAAACTTTTTTGTCAAATTAATAAAAATTAAAATATGTTACAAATCAAATCAGTTGACACCTTATAGTCAGTTCTAGCTTTAGAAATGATATATATCCTTCTAGAGATTCAATTGTTTCATTACATTTTTCTGCTTCTAACAAAACAAAAACCTAACTAAAGATTCCTCTTGGATAAGCCAACTTTTTAAGACCTTGTCACTGAACAGGCAGAGTTCAAATCTACCTTTGCCATGTATTAGCTCTGTGATGCTGGGCACTCCCATTATCAATTCTTTCATCTACAAAACTGGAATGATGATAACATAAATGCAGACCCTTTAAATCCAATGACTGTAAGGGTTAAATCATTTCATTATTTTTCATTTGCTAAAAATATGTATTAAATATTTTAATATTAAAAATATTAAATATTTTTAATATATTTCTTCCTGTGCCAGGGACACAGGATAGAAATCTAGGGTCAGTGAATACAGCAATAAATAATACAGATACAATTCCCTGTCCCTGTGGAGGAGACAGTCTACTGAAAGCAGAGCGTGCTCAGTAAATAGGAGCACTGGACAAACAGACTTGCCTGTGGTGGGTGCTACCATGATCATCAGGCCAGGGGTGGAGGGAGGAGACTAAACTGATTTTTCTTTGTAAATTGTTAACCAGCATAACTTAGCTGTCTAGGAACTATCAAATTTTAAACTCCCAGGATTTTGCTAAATCATTAAAATGGCTTGCAATATTTGTAGAATATTCTCTAAGGTATTGTGATAGTATCATTTTATTTAAAAGGTATCCTTTTATTTAAAATAAAACTAGACAAGCCAGAAAATAACAACCAATATAACTCAGATTCTGTGCATATACAGATAAGAAGTTGCCTCTCCTCTTACTCTGCTAAGGCTACACGTATTTCTAAAGCACCTGTACTGGGTAGCTTCACAGGCTAGCACATCATGGCTACTAGCAGACTCTGGAAGAAGCAAATTGTGCCTATTCCATTCTTCTGATTCTGAAACCCAAATTCTGATTTCAAGACAAATGAGGAATAAGATTTATCATCTTGCTAACCCAAAAACTTGAATAAAATACAGGGTTTACCAGTCGGTTGCAATCTATTTGGTACGATGTAGTTGTTACCTTAGTCTGTTTTCTGTTTTTATAATGGAATACACAAGACTGAATAACTTACAAAGAGTACAGGTGTTATTAGCGCATAGTTCTGGAGGCTGGGAAGCCCAAGGGCATGGCTCCGTCATCCAATGAGGACCTTCTTGCTGCATTGTAACAGCAGTGGTCATCACATGGTGAGAAAGAGCAAGCTTGCTCTCTCTGGTCTCTCTATTTTCATGAAAGCATTAACGCCCTCATTAGGGCTCCATCTAATCCCAAATAGTTCCAAAAGGCCCTACTTCCAAATACTGTTAACATATACCTTTGGGGATGAAGTTTCCAAACATAAATTCTGGGGGATAAATATTCAAACTACAGCAGTTGCTTGGTTTGGAAATATTTTGCTTTCTCCTCTCCTGCTAGACAGAAAGTACAGAAGGACTGTCCCCTACCAACAATCTAAAATCCCAAAGGAAGGAAGCTTCATTCTGACAAAACTGCAAGGGTCAAGTTATTTTCCATTCAGACATTAAATTAAATACGAAAAATAGGAAGAAACACTTAGTAATAAAAAATGGGATTTTGAAAGTGAGAGAAGTAGAAATACGGTGTGAATAACTTTGATCTCATATATTTCTTATTAACATTCATGACAAAAACGGTCAGTTTGTTCTCATAAAATCCATGCAGCTCACTCTACCTGTCACCCCAGGGAATATGCCTTTCTATTTCCTTGACACATAATTTTATTAGAAGTATCAGAAAATGTCAAGCTAACCATCATTTGGAAAAGGGACTGTCCAAGACTCTCAGCAGTGCCCAAACAGAAGCTTGTGGGGGGTAAAGTTCATGCAAGAAAAACTCATTCATCTTGACAGTAGGCTTCCCCCAAATGACAACTCTGCTCTAAAAAGGCAATAACATCCAAGTTTTTGCAGGTTTTGTCCCAAGGGCCAGGTTCATATATTTAAAAGAGGAGTGATTCTGATATACTAGCATATTATTTGCATACGTCTACGTGGTTTTCAAATTAAAGTTCTATTATGACAATCCTTTCTGTGGATATTTTGTAGCTTTTAGTTTCTCATTTCCTTATTATTCCCCAAAACCCCACCACTAACAACAACAACAGCAAAAACTCAGACCTTCCAAACTAAAGGGGCGAATTATGCACAGAGAGCTTCAGGAAGAATAAAGGTAAATGACAAAAAATACTTACTAGGGCTTCTGTTGCTCTGAGATAATTTTAGAAAATCATATATTAAATCTACCTTCTTCCTCCAAACTTCAGTGGGGAAAATTGTTATTATTTTGTTCTATAATAGCTAACGCCTATTTTGCCATCAATAAACTACCATTGTACCCTTAAAGATTGCTGTAAATGTGATAATACTGTAAACCAGCTTGCCTCAAGCTTTATCTCAGCAACCCTTTAAACCCGTAAAAATTCCTAAGAACCCCTAAAGAGTGCCATGAACATTCACTATATCAGAAATTAAACTGACAAATTTTTAACTTCTTTAATATTTAATTCACTTTCAAATAAAAATAATGAGTCTTTTGCATATTAACATAAGTAATAAATTGTAATACAAAGCAACTATTTCTCCCCGCAAAAAAATCAGTGTTCTCTTTAATGTTTAGATGAACAAGAGCCAATCTAAATTTATATCCCATTATACAACTGGTCAGTGACATGCTGTTTTAAGTATATAAAGAAGATTAGGCCTAACGTAAATAGTTATTAGAAATGGAAGGAGAATGGAAGCCCCTTCAAATAACTGTCAATATTTCCCTTTGATACTATACCAAAATGTGTCAAATGACAGTTTTGTAAAAATTTGTTGCTATATAGAATCTAATACCATATATCAATGAACTTTTCCTTAATTACATTAAAATATATTGGTCTATCTTGATAACTGGAATTTTGTATCATTGTGTACTGGTCCTTTGGAAAATATCAGCTCCCTGAGTTATGGAGACACACAAATGCATAAATATTTCAATACACAATTAAAAATTAGTTTTGTTAATGTTATTACTAATCTTATCAGAGAAATAAACACTGGTAAACTATAAACTTCATAATGGCAAACATAAATTGTCCAGAATTCTCATTTTTCTATAAATTTCAAATGTTATCATGGGCAACAAACACTATAAGTTCTGCTCATTTTGCTCATTCTTAAGAAAATGTCTGCCAAATACCCAAGTCTGAATAAGTACAGTCTGTCCATTGTTTTTTCAAACAAGATGGTATTCCATGAAAAGAGCATCTTCTTCAATTCTCAACTCAACCATGTGCCCTTCCTTAAGACCACCATCAGTTTTGTTACACAGCAGAAATGCCTACGTGGCATCCTGGTTTTCTAGAGGAGGAAACAGCTTTTCAAATGTGTGCCTTTTCTATGTATGAGGAGACTGACTCACCTGTATGCTGCCCGGTGTCTCTGCAGGGCAATTGCTGCCAGATGAAGACGGGCTTCCACCACAATCTCCAACTCAGCAGCACAACAATGAGACAGGTCCTTGTGGCCTGGATGTTCCACCTCGGACACAAGGAAGTTTAGCCTCTCTTCAGCTTCCATCAGTAAAACTGTCTAAAGAATAAACACCACACAATCACATGTTCAGAAATAATGTTTCATTCTTATCAAATATTTTATGTGTGAAAAGCAACAATGAATGGAAAACTAAACGGAAATCTGTACATAATCATCAGATAAGAGAACTCAATAAAAAAGAAAAAGACAACAGAAATTAAAAAAGTAAGAGCAAGAGGAAGGACAATAGCTATCCTTTACTGTATGGATAGCCAATGCTCATTATTAACAATAATTCTAGAAAGTTCTGAAAAGTTTTCCATAAACACTGATTAATAAAAACTTAACTATTGCTCTCAGGGAAAATAGAGAAATGAACTCCTAGAAGCCTCTGGGCATAAGCCTTTCATCAACTGCTCAATATGTTACGTTGTTTAAATGTGTATTTATAGTTAAGGACACATTTAATATATACATATAGTTGATTCATTAACCAGGGACTCACAACAAATATCACTATAATTCAGGTCTAGTTGATATGCGTATTTTCTCTGTAAGGCACTGCATAGCTTTCTTGCACTTAGAAACATTAGACAGCACTTCAACATTATGCTTGAAGGATATTTTAAATAGTAAAATTATCAATCCCCCCAAAAAACCATGAAAAACATGATTCAATTAAGCATACCTAATGCAAAAATCTGAAATCTAAAATACTCTTAAATCCAAAACTTTTTGAGCACTGACATGACACAGGAAATATTTTACTTTTTAGAGCATTTCAGATTTTGGATTTTCAGATCAGGGATGTCCAACTAATGAAGTCTAAAGTGTAGAAAAGGACATTTATTGATAGTATGAGAACTGAAAAGAGAAGTCAGAGAATCACCCTGTTCAACTCAGCTGGGCAACTCTAATTTTTCTATGCTCTGGGTATGTCCACAGATAATTTTAAAAAGTGCCAAGAGTACTGATTTGGGGAATATACAAAACTTTACCAGATAGACAATGTAACAACAGGACAAATTGTATTCCAACTTCAACTGTGATAATGTGAAGACAATGAGATTTTACAGTAGATAATCAGTATTAAATATCACTCTGACATGGCAGAAAATTTTTTTTAGAATCAATTTTTTAAGCAACAGGTCTCTAAAACCTTGTTTGTACCAAACTGTAAATATCATATATAATAATATATAACAATACTAGGGTAATACATACATAATATAAGGACAATTTACTAACATGATTAAGAACATAGGACAAAAAAATCGATAGGTCCTACTCTCAGATCTGTATTTGATTATTTGCATAACATTAGTGAATTTCATAAACTAAGTCTCAGTTTTCTCATGATTCATCACAGAATAGTTAAAAAATTAAGATCTATAACATGGAGTTGTGAAAATTAAATAATCATGAAAAACGCCTGTTATATAGTAAGCATTGAATAAATGGTAGCTGCTGCTTCTGCTACTATTGTCATCATTACGATGAGGAAATGAGAAACAGGGCATGGAATACTCACATCCCATCAAACAATAAATCAGATTTTCTGTATCATCTTAATTAGGTTGCACAGCAAAGCCTGAAACCTCTGGGCACATACTTTTCTCTTGAGGAGTACATACTGTCCTAGCCCCCACCTATCCTTATGCAAGAAAAGATACCTGATCTCCCAAGGGCAAACACCACCCCAAGAGTGGGCCTGTTCAAGCCCAAATGTATGCATTTGATAACTGCTTCCCTATGATTTGAAAAAAAATTCAGACTTACCTTTAGCATGTTAAGAGTGAATTCATCTTTAAATTTTGTAAGCTGATACAATGAGCCTCCATCATCCTTTATATATAGCTCTACAAAGACATGATATTTTGGAAATACTAAGGAAATATGTGGTTACTTTAAATATTAATTGCATTTTTTAAAGTCCATCATTCCTGAGAAACTATCTATAAATTAATTATAAAAATAATCACAGTAATCATTAGATTTTGTTTATTGTGACAATTAACATTGTAGATGTTATAACAGGAACTATTTGGTTTAATGCTGTATATTATTCGTATTGGTTGTTTTTATTATTTATCTTCCCCTAAATGGCCAGGTTCTGGAAACCTTCAAGGACACAGGGTAAAAATTCTACTGACCAAGACCCATACTGTTAGATTGGTAGACACAGAACATAAAAAAGCAAGGGAAAAAAATCACCCGAAACAAACCAAGATACTTCAATAACAAAATCCATCGACACCACAATGTAAGAAATATCAGAGAAGGAGTTTAGAATGTACATAGTTCAACTTATCTGCAAGGTAAATGATGATATAAGAAGTGAAATCACAGAGAAAATACAGGAGGGGAAAGGTCATTCTAATAAAGAATAGAGATTCTTGAAAAAGTCAAGCAGAAATCCTGGAAATGAAAGAATCAATAAACCAAATTAAAAATTCAATGAAAAGTATCACCAAGAGAATAGACCACTTGGAATACAGAGTTTCAAGCAAAGAAGACAAAATATATAATCTTGAAAATAAAATTTATCATGGAGAAAAGATGTTGAACAAATATCCCTTCTTTTTTTTTTTTTTGAAATATTCACAGGGATTTGAATTTTCTAGTACTGGAATTGATTTTAAAGGTAGGTATTTCATGCTGTGGCTATTTGGCTCCCTGCAGATTTCCTTATATTCCTCTGTTTACCATGAAAAAGATAGGGAGACACAGCTATGGAGAAATTATTTCTAAGCTAATTACTGTTTTTCAATAAAATAACAGTTGGGCTCCAAAGTACTGTAAAGAAGTTTCAGAATACTGAATTGCTGTGAAATAAATTTTTAAGAATTATAAAAAAAAGAGAGACCTTGAATAGACATCCAAGAAATACAGGATAACCAGAAAAGACCAAATTTAAGATTTATCAGAATAGATGAAGGCTCAGAGATACAAACCAAAGGAATGCACAATCTTTTCTTCAAGAAATAATATGAGCAAATTTCCAAAACAAAAGAATGAAATGAAAAACTAAATACAGGAAGTTTACAGGACCCCAAATATACAAAATTTCAACAGACCTACACCAAGGCACATCATTATGAAAATGCCTAACAAAAAATAGAATAAGGATAGAATTTTAAAAACTACTAGAGAAAAATGACAGGTTACATTTAGAGGGAAACCAATCCAGATCTCATCTGGTTTCTTAACACAAATCCTCAAAGCTAGGAGATCTGGGAATAATATATCCCAATCTCTGAAAGAAAATTAATGCTGACCAAGAATACTATACCCAGAAAAATTAAGCTTTAAAATTTACAATGAAATAAAAATCTTCCATGATAAATCAAAGTGGAAAGAATGTACAACTAGAAAGTATGTACTACAAATCATTCTCAATAAATATTTGACAAGAAGAAATGAAAATTAAAAGTGAAAACCAGCAAAGGAAGAACTATAATAGAATAGACAATCAAAGGAGAAACTAACTCAAATT